GTGCTGCTATATATACATCCTTCTTCTAAATATATTCACTAAATTAATTGTCTCCACTTGAATGAATTAATTAATCACATGCAAGGAAATGAAAAACAGGAAGAGAAAAAGTTTATTTGGCCTGCTAGTGAGGAGTTAATCATGGAAGAGCTGACTACATAATTTGGGACCAGTTGGATGAGAATGAGGCATGTACAACAGTTGTAACAAATTTTGGCAGGCTTTTTCACGAGCTTTCTTGGGAAGCCAGCAAAGTAATTAAACCTCATGGGGATCTTAATTAGGTCTTGTGGCTAATTTGGTGTTAGAATTGATTAAGGAAGATGCAAAATGTGTTGGGTGTTAATAAGGAATATAAGGAAATAAATTATGTATATAATAATTAAAGGGAAGAAGGAAGAAGAAACAGAGGCACATTGGGTGGCAGCCTTATGTAAGAAAAGCTAAAGCATTGTGTAGGGAAGGGTCACATACTACAGTGACTCAACACTGAAGAAGCAAACAAACAAACCAAATTGCTGAGAGACCCATTATTGTTCTTCCGACACATCAATTACATCCATCCATTTGTCCTCCAAATTAATTTCCTTTTTCCTCTCCCACTCACTCCCTCCCTCACCTATTAAAAATTTGTTCTTCTTGTTGGAAATGTGAAGCGTCTATCTGAAAATATGTGAGAAAATAAATGAGGGAAGAGCAGTTGATAAACACAACTACATGTTGTTGTATAGTAGAAACATAAAATAACTCCTAGTTTATTCATATGGTTCAGATAAGTTTAAATATGACGATTATAAAATATAAAAAGTTTAGTGAGAAGTGACACTATATATTATAAATTGTATGATTTATCTTGAGTTTTATGCATGCAAATGCATAGATCCACTCTAATTGATATAAAATATGAAATTTATACTAAGCTGCATTATTTACAAAATGCTATAATACAATATATATATATATATATATATATATATGGTATCTTTGCTTTACTTATTGGCAATATCTTGCAGCAGCAGCATCTCAATCTTACGTTGTATCTTATTATGTCCTTGGATATCCGGTGGATGAATCGATGGAACATTTGTTTTGTTCATGCCCTTTTGCTCGAAGCTTATGGTTTGGAACTTTATCTATTCATTCCTTAAAGATTGTGCGTGTTGGAATGATTAGTTGGTCGTGTTCTGTGCTCCTTCTCTAGTCTAAGAGAAGCTGCTAGATATTGTCAAACAAATAATAATTTTACTATACTTCGACATGACAGAAAAAGAATGAAGCTCTTCACAAGGGAATTTGCAAGCATTGTTCACTATCTAACTTATGTTTGCATTCAGCCTTCTTGTTCAGGGCAACAACCATATCAATTATCAATTCATGTGCTGCAAAAATACACTTCCCCTCAGTTTTTGATTAATTATGATAGCTAGAAGGTGTGGTTGAAGAAATTCAAAACACGGGGCAACACTTTCTGTCAAGCTGCTTCTATTTGGCTGAACTAATCAAGAACTTTAAAATATTCTTTGGCCCAAAAAAAAAAAAAACCAACTTAACTAGATTCAAGATTATTCAACCTCACATGCCTCCGGTTGTTACTTCACTGGATTGTTGATAATCACTTTTCAAACCTCTCCTAACTCCAGTCCTTTTGGTATTATCTATCATGATCAAAAGCGTTTGAATAGCTTTTTCAACAAAGATCTTTCACTATGGATGCTCTTAACTATGATATTATTAGTTTCTTAATTTTCCAGTTTGTTTCTTAGCTTATTCATTTTATATTTCTAAATTCAGTTGTATCACTTCTGGTATTATTCTTAGACTGTTCTATTGTAGAACTCTTTTTACCTCTTTTTTGTTTTAATATATTGATCGTCTTTCCATTGAAAAAAAAAAGATATATGGTATCGATCTAGCTAGTAGTTGTAGTTATTATTATTAATATTAATAAGTTGGAGATAATTCCCAATTTAATTGATGCAGACGCCATTCCTGTACAGCTCAGTTTGTTTGTGGCGACAAAACAATCAAGCCCATGCAACCTTTACTGTAGGCTGCTAGGTCAACCTGCAGGTGCTTTGATCTCCTTAATCTTCATCTTGATCTTGTCCCCATAATAATAAATTATTATTATTATTATTATTATTTAATTTTCTCTTCTCTTTAGTTTATGCAAGTGTGTTCGTTAGTTCTAAAGAACTGGCAAGCACTTAATTGGTTAATATAATTGTACTATACCAGCTGCCATATTCATCTATTATTGAAATTTATGTTAATTAGTACATTGGTAGTGTGTCAGCTGATCAGATATAAAAGGATGGAAGGGTCTATGATATATATCCCAACATGTGTAAATTCTATGCGATATTTGAAGTTCATATACTAAACTCTCTACAATATAGTATTTAAGATATACAAAAATATTGTGAGCAAACAATATATATATATATATATATATATTGGACGACTTCAAACATACGTATTGATATAATGTAGATTTCTAAATTATATCAATAAAATTAAAAAAGGGATAATTTGTTTGTGTATATCAGTCTCAGCACCATATCTCAAACCATAATTAATCACTTCAACTTCCAATGGAAGCTAAAAAAGGATTTATTTGAATCAATGATTGAGAATAGCAAATCACCAACGTGGATTTCTTACATTCATACAAATAAGTGTATAAATTATTTAGAGAGAGAGAAAGAGAGAGAATGGGTATAAAGTTAATGTGATATTTATCTTTTTAATTTTATATTCTTCACAAATACTCTTCTTATTCAAAATGTAATTAATGTGTTTTTTCTTAATAAATGAATTATTTTATATTTATTTTTAAGTAAAATAATCTAATATTAAACAAGAATAAATATGATAAAATAGTATCAATTTAAAGACAATTAATTAATTTATTGAGAGTAAAATTTAATTAAAAACATCTTATATTTTTTAATGAAGTGCAGAATATAGTATAGGGAATATAATTTAAGAAAATTTATAATATAGAGCATAAATGGATCAATATAGTACAGGAGAGAAGAAGAATTTGTTATTTTCACTATTTGTTACTCTTGTATATTTTATTATAAAATTTGTTATTATATATAAAATAAAATTAAAAAAATTTTGATAAAGCAAAACAACATTTTTTTTTACTGCAAATCCAACTCTTACTCTTACAATTTTTATAAATTAAAGTTGTTCAATACACACATCTTTTTTTCACTGCCAGTACCACATTCACAACAACGTAGTACAGGAGAGAGATACTCTGTATATTTCTATTATACAGTACAGATGCATTTATCTTCTCTCCTGTTAAAAAAATAGGGGAATTTTTTTTTTTAGTCCATAACTTTTTTAATTATTATTGATTTAATCTTTAAATTTTAACTTAATACATCTCAATCTTGACAGTTTATTGAAGTAAAAAAAAATTAAATGGAATAAATTATATCAAATCAAAAAATTATATTGACTAAGTTATTCTAAATCAAAATTCTGAATCCATAATTGAGAATAAATTGAAAAAAAATACATATTTTTTTTTTAAAATGTAGTCCAGGAACAAGAGAGAAGAAGATAAATGCATGTTGTGATTTCGGTGCAGGAGAATATACAGTGAATGTGAGTGTGTGTGTGAGTGACGTGCACAATTTTAATTGGGCAGAAGAGATATAGACAGTGGAAAAGTACAAAAAAGGACTGTGTCTTCCCCAATTATGAAATTCCCCAAACTCGAATTATTGACTCTGCCACACCCCATACCTCCCCTGCTCACGGGCCTCACCCTTCTTCTTTTACCACTTTGCCCCTTCCCTTTACTCTTTTTTACATTTTTCTTTTTTCTCCTTCATGCCCTCCCTCCTAATTTCGGAGTTGGCTTCCATCCATTGATGCAGTAGAATCATAGTGAATTTAAGGTTTCGTTTGATTATCAAGGAATGAAATGAAATGAATTAAAAAAATAAAAATAAAGAGTAAGATTATCAAAAGAAATAAGTGAACACATTCATAAATATGAGAAAAAATTTAATTTAAAAAATTAAAAATCATAATTCATATAATTTTTAAAAGGTATGATAATTTTTATATTTATAATATATATTAATAAGTTTTATTATGTTTACCGTAGGGAAGAAGTGATTGACTTAATTTTTATTTTTATTTTTTTAATCCATTCCTTTCTAGTAAACAAATGGAACTTAAATAATTAAATTAGATTAGATGACTTAAATTTGATAATTCTTAAGAAACATATTAATCTATATTGTTAAAATTTAATTTGAAAAATTCAATTTTATAGTGAAGCGTACTGGAGAAAAACCAGTCACTTTCAACTCTACTCCCTCCGATCATTAATTTAGGATAAAGTTTGAAAGCTTTTTTATCTTTAATATGAGACAAAATTAGATTAATTAATATTTTTTTTTAATTTTACCCCTTATTTATTTTTTGTCTTTGAATTCCTAGGCACCAATTTACTATAATTATTAATTGTAAAAAAAAGTAAAATAAAAAAAGTAACTTCCTCTATTAAAAAACATAAAGTATTTTTAATTAATCTCATCCTAATAAAGTAGTAATTTATCTTTAAATTAATATTATATTTTTATATTTATCCTTATTTAATAATATTTTTCACTCTAAAATAAATATAAAATAATTTATTCATTAGAGACACTTAAAAAGAAATAGAACAATGATTACACTTTAAAATAGTATAAATATTTTATATTTTTTAACATTCAACTTTTTAAAAAATATTTTATATTTTTAAATGTAAAGAGCATGTCGTTTAACTAATTTTAAGAACATAACTACTATTTTTTAATAAACGTGAAAGTTAGTTAACTTTACTTTGTATTAACTTTGGTGATTGGACTAGTGACTACTTATTAACCCGGATTGATGACTTTGGTATGCTTCGTTTTTGTTTGGTTTTAATCAGTTGATGCATCTGTAGATAGACCATGTCGCGGCTAAGTTGTCTACAATGCTAGCATGTCCGTGGAGGAGGGAACACTGTAATTATCTCACTCGACCCTGTCCCTTGTCGTAATTTCACCTCTTAATTTCTTTCCTTATATTCATCAAAACCCTCCGGAGGAAGAAAGAGAGATCGAAGAAGAAGAACATGGAAGGAGGAGGAGCAGATCACAGTAACTCATCGAACTCTATCTACAGAGAGTGTCTGCGAAACCATGCAGCCAGTCTCGGCAGCTATGCCACCGACGGTTGTGGCGAGTTCACGCTCGACGAGAGCTCTCCGGGAGGGTGTCTCCAATGCGCCGCCTGTGGGTGCCACCGGAACTTCCACCGAAAGTTGACGTGCCCACTGCCTCCGAGGGGCTTTAGCCGGCCGGAGCTGATGACTGGGGAACTGATGGAGTACAGCGGTGGTGAGGGGACGCCGCCGAGCAGCGGGATGGTGGAAGGCGGGGAGAGGATGACGACGACGTCGTCGGGGAAGAAGAGGTTCAGGACCAAGTTCACGGCGGAGCAGAAGGAAAAGATGATGGGATTTGCAGAGAAGCTTGGATGGAAGCTTCAGAGGAAGGATCTAGACGATGAGATAGAGAGGTTCTGCAGAGGCGTGGGAGTGAGCCGCCAAGTGTTCAAGGTTTGGATGCATAACCATAAGAACGCTTCTTCTTCTTCTTCTGCTTCCACTGGCAATGCCTCTTCTCTTACCCAGTAATCACATATATATAATGTCTCAGAGAGAGATCGGAGTAATTAATATTGTGTTGTACTCTCAGATAATTACTTCATTAAGCAGAGACAGATATTTCAGTTCTGAATCCTTATTTCTTGCCTCTTTTTTTCTTCCTTTAAATTTTCCCTTAATTTGCATGCTTGCTTGCTTGTAATTTGTAGTCATGGCATTAGGATATGGAAATTAGCCTCTTTATTCTTTTTGGGTCATGTCTCCTGATTAAGACTGTTGATGTTAATGTGAGTGAACATATATAGGGACGAAAACTAACCTAATATCTATTTCTTTTCCTTATTAAAATTTGAATTAATTTTCAATTTCAATCGTATATGTTCTATATCCCTAGATGCTAGTTATTACTTTTTAAAATTGGAAGGGTAGATACTAATAATTTAAAATTACAAGTGAGATTGAACTCACATTCTATTTGTTAAAAAGCTTATATGCCACTATGGGTACAATGTGTTAATTGTATTGATGAATAATAATCAATATTTTATCTCTTAACTCATCTCATTGCTTTCTTTAGCTACATTCATATAATTCGATGGAAGATTATCCAAATTCGAATATGATGTCTAAGAGTTACAAAAATATTAGATTCATTAATATATAAGATATGAGGAGTGACAAAAAATTGTAGGCAGAATCATTGGTAACCTTATGGTGATATTTTCCTTTCTTTTATTAATAGTACTGCAGATCTACTGCTTTGAGATCATTAAATTTAGGGAGGAATTACTAAAAGGTTTTTCGTTTGTTATTTATTTATTGTTGTTACTGGTTGATGTACTGAGAAAATGTAGCCAAGTGTAATTCGTGTGAAGATTTCGATGGCCAAGTTGAAGGCCACAAATTTCCCAATAGGCCCACAAATAATGTCTGTACTGCAAAAAATAGTGTTGTATATCAATGATGTAATTGATTCCCCTTGTTCAATAAACTAACAATACATGTTATTTTGAAACCTACAGTGTTTATCACTTATAAGCAATAATACTTTTAGAATTGGATTGGACATTGAATCAAAAAAGTCAGTGATTTACGATTCGCATGGTTCAATTGAGTTGGACCAATGGTTCAACTAATAACGTAATGATTAAATTAAAAAAATTATATATGTATATAATAATCTAAATATAAGAAATATATATAAAATTGCTATTTAACCTAAAAAAATCAAATATTTTAAGTTTATCATGACTTAACAAGTTATATAATACAACATAATATCAAATAATTAAAAAAATTAGTCATTTTTTTAAAATTGATAAAAAAAAGTTTCTTTTTGAATAGTCTAGTTTTTGAAAACCAGATCTGGTTCTCGGCTTGATTTTGGTTCCCGATCCAACCGTCGGTTCAAAACAGCTCAACCCCTAAAACGACTTTTTTCTATGAACCAGACCGGAAACCAGACCGATCGACCGTCCAATCCAGTCCGATTTTAAAAATACTGCTCATGAGTATCATTGTACTTCTCATAAATTTTATTTTATTTATCTATATAAACACACTCCTTCCTATCCTTTTTATAGAGTGCTTTACATAAAAATAAAATGTACATAGTTCTAATGATAAGGTGCTTTTATAAAATAAGAAACAGTTTTCTATTCTTGACTCTAAAATTTTAATGGTATTTTTGAAGCTTGAGAAAGCATCATGGTCTTACACAAATACAGCGTCCCTCTCATATATATATATATATATATATATTAATATAATGCCTTGACAAATCATGCAGAGAGATTAAAATCTAGTCATGTCTACCTTTTCATATTTTGATTGATACATTTTTCATAATAATATTTATATATTAGGATATGATTGAAAAATTGATTTTTTAAAAAAATAAAGCATCATAACAGCTTGCTTTCTTTCTTCTTCTTTCTTTCCCCCAGAAACATGAAATATCATTTAAATCCAAAGGGTTTACAAGATAAAGAAAGTATAACAAGCAGAACATAAATAAGATAAAAAAAAAACCTAAAACAAAACAACATAAAGAAAAAAAAAAAGAAACACTATCAAGATCATCCAAAGCTTTAAAACAAAAACGAAAAAGCAAGAAATGCTATCACTGTTGTGAAAACTCCAAGAGACTAGATGTCACATTGGAAAATAAGAATAAGTGTTCATAGAACTATCCTAATGGTCCCATCCACCTAGGTAGCAGATTTACCACCTCCATGCATCAAATTCCATGTAGAGAGAACCAAAACCATTGGCTATTAGGATTAAAAAAAAAAAAAACCCATCTTTGCTGCAAACCATCCCTTATCAAATTGAGAAGTCCAAGCCAAAACTCCTAACAACATATCCAAATCATCAAGATCTATATTGAAAAAACCCCATGCCTCTTAGCCTACAAGAAGAAGTCACAAAATCCTTGCTTAAGCACATCGCACAAATCATCATTCCTTCGGATAGACAACTTCTGCCTCACCAATGCTAATTGAATCCCCATTCCCTTCTCATCAACTCAAATCAAAGGAAGAAACAACACACACTAACAAAACAAAAATTAAAAAACTAACCCCCCCCCCCCACGTACGTTGGACACCTCTCTCACAGTAGAAGCCGACGAGAGATGTACAAGAGAACAAAAGCCATAGAAAATAACCCCTAATGACGAAGAGAGAAAAGCTCCCACAAGAAAACCCAAAGAGAGGAAATTGAAAACTCAATGTAACTGCTTTTCTTAATTTTAATGAAATTGCCTTAAAATATCCAGATGGAGTGTGTGTATGTGTTAAATTTTTTACCTAATTTTAACCTATAATATCAATTCATATCCTAAATATTTAACCGATTGAATGCCGGCTTAACTATATTAATATAATTTACTATTAACACTACACTTATTACCTTAAATGGGGATGATTAAAGACTTAAAGCTAGCTAGCCTATTGCTTAACACTATATTGTGCTGAATCTAAATATTAAAGATCATTATGTATAGGTTAAGACCAATGGGCGAGGGAAGTTATGTATAACTAATAAGCTGACCTATTTGTGCAAAATATAATATAAGGAAAAAAAAGTTATGCACCCAAATTAATAAACAGCACAGCAAATGAAGGTACAGGTGCTTGATGCTTTTCCTTTTTGACATGAAGGATTGAGATGACAATTTTAACCTCATGTGAATGCAGAGGGTGGTGTATTTTCCCACCCTTATATAAAGAATCCTATGTTAAAGTTAATCTTACGTGATATTTGTACTGTGTGCGCAGTGCGTTCGTCGATCAAATTAATGTTATGAATAGTACAATTTTTTTTTTTAATTTAGTTATATAAACTATTGCTAACATTATTCTGCTTTTAAAAATATCACTTGAATCCTTTGACATTATACGTACCAAAATAAAATCTAATTGTACCAAAAAAAGAATCTAATTTCTCACTTATTATTAATAAAGTAAACCCTTCACATAATATGCGTTCTTTCTGATAAATAAAATGATTTAATTATTTTTATTGTCATATTAATAATAAAATCACGATTTTGTGAGCCTGCCGTCAACTTTTGTTTCTATATTATCACATATTAAGTAGATATAACTCATGCAATGCATATAATCTAATGATTACAAAGCACTTTTCTATAACTTTTAAATAGTGTTATATAGCATAAAGTTTCTATTGATAGTAAGTTACAGTTTTCTATTATGCACAAAAGTCAACTTTGTGTTACAAAGGCACATGGTTCAAATCAGCTTGTCATGAGGCATTGGATTTGAGCCATAGGATATGTAGTTACATTAAATAAAAATGTTAAAAACACTTAGATACTCATAAAATTATTGTCGGTAATAATGATCTCATAAAATGAAAGCCCAAATTAGTTTGGACTGGTGATGGTTTCGCCTCCTGATTTTTCATGAATCTTTCAAAAATTAATATGTATTGAACTTCAATCAAATAACCATGTATCCATCACAGTCAGTTCAATGACAAATCTTATTTTTAAAAATATTAGTAAAACCAGAGTGACAATGGCACTCCTTGTTTGTAACGCAGAAGTATCAAGCGAGAAGAACTAAATCCTGCAATGCATTTGAAGCAAACCATGGGGAACAAGAGATCATTTCATGATCCGCCATAAATTGTGTCCTCAAGAAACTGAAAATCACAGAGGATGCAATTGTCTGAGAATCGGAATCCCATGAGCAAAGCACGATGGGAATAGGGACGTTGGAGGACCACAAGGAGCAGAATTAGCTTGCAGTGTACGCAATTTCCAAAAAGGCATGAAATTAACGATAAGGTGTCCCTTCATCTACAAGAAAGATCTTCAGACTGTAATTGCATGTGGATCCTGGGATGATCTTGCTTGCACTACCTGTCTGCCAAAAGCAATAAGTGAGAGATGAAGAATCTTGAGGAGGCATCTGTTTGTGTTTGGAACTGTGAGACAAAGAGGTTTTGGGGTAACCCACCAGACTTGCGCTTTGAATTGCCAGTACACTGCCTCTGCCCTTCCAATTAGGGACAACAGATAAGACAGCACATGCTTCCCTTCAACTTGTAAGCTAACCACAATTTCTATCTCTTACTCTTCTCCTCAATCAATACAGGCTCAGTGACTGCTTTTTAGCACTCACTTCACAGTCAGTAATTGCTGGAATTTTTATGAAACTCGTTTAAGTTTCTTTGGTTTTTTTAATGTTTTAAAAACATCCACTTGGCATGCTTTAGTCGAAGTAGTTTTACACAGGCAACAGTATAAATTATAAACATTAGAGTTGGTTTTCAGCATTCAACCGAAAATTACTTTCCGATGAGTAATTTGGAATGAAATTGGCTTATAGGGTAAGTGACAAATAAATAATAAAAAGCTTTATAGGCTTGGCCTTCCTTCTTCTGCAAGAGAAAAATTAATAGAGATTGCCCCAATATCTAATCAAACGAGGAAAGCCAGATATTAATAAGACGCACATTTAAAAAGATGCTAGTGCATTTTCAATTAAAAAAAACGTCTACATTTAATATTTAACAATGCCTCAAATATAATTACCTTTAATGAGAGAATACTCATGGGTAACTTAAAAATATATATATATATATATATATATATATAGACGACACTGTTAAGACAACCCACACTTTATTCTACGAGGAACACCAAGCATGGCATTTTTAGGGGTTAAGTGTAGATGAACAAATTCAACCCATTACAATGCATATCAATAAAAAGATAAGGATCAACCTCACTAGTTACTGAAACCATTTGTTTTTTTTTTTTGGGCCCAGGAAACTTGTTACTGAAACTAGATTGACTTGCAATCAACTTTGCAGCTTACTACCAAAACAGAAAAAGCCTTTGTAGCTTTCCAATAACACGGGTACAAGGCAACATTCTCCCTTATTCATTGGCTTTCTAACTTTCGGCTGTCGATGTTGTGGACGTTAGGTACTTAAGAGTTCTTATTTTATTATCGGAAAAAAAAGAAGAAACTTTTAATCTCACTTTTTTTAAATTATCAATTCACTCTCTAAAATTTAACTCAAAACAATTAAATCTCTATAATTTTTACTTCAAAATAACTCAGTGCTTATAGAAGTCTTAGCACAATTCAATTTCTATAATTCATTAACTCAATAAGCTATAATAAGAACTTGGTTAAAATTCAAGGACAAAATTAATAATTGAAAAAAAATAAAGCACTAAAAGTTATGTCATCCCCTTAATATTTTTACAAGTTTCTAAAAGAATGATGTGTAAAACTACAAGTCTGCATGATAGAATATGCTTCACTTTACATGCCTTGCTTCTACAGCCAGCTTCTCTTATTTTGGCTCGGCAGGACCAAGTTTGTCGGGCTGCAGACCAGCTGCACAACCCCAGGTCATACTTGACCCAATCAGAGTGCAAAAACAACCGAAGGTCAACCACATAACTGCCTACATGTATATTTCAAAGATTTAAGAGGCACTTGCATGACATGTAAACATCAAATTCATGCCATCCCCAAACCACAGGGCAAAAACCAAAAAACTAGAATTCACAATCTCACATTGACATTAAGATGGATATTATTGTCCATTGCAATCTTCAATATTTCAAATTTACATCCAATATAAAATTTGGGGTATATAAAGTAATTAGCAATTACTCTCTCAGCTTTATGCGCAAACTGCATAAGCGGAGAGCCTAACAGTTACAATAGCACAAAATCACGAACAAAACTTGGCGGAATCCGCAGAGAGAGTAGCATGATAAGTTATGTGAATGATCCTCTACCTATTGTATTTCTCTTTGACGGCTAAAGCTGCAGCTCTGTACCATGTGGCTGCAGCCATAGCACCGGGGTCAGGGACTGATGAAAGAATCTCTCCGGATACATAGCTTGATCGCCCAGCCTGCACAAGGACTCTTGTCAGATCCTCAGACAATTGACAGTGCCAAAACTACCCTCTATATCTTTACTAGCTTTAAACAAGTCATCAATCTGTAGTTGTTGAGCGAGGCAACAAGACTTCATGGCAATACCCAAGAACCAAATTCTAGTGTGCTACTCCTGACACAACCACGTGCACTTGATCATACTCTAGTATTCATCCAGCCAAAAATTCTTCTAATTTTTAAATCTTGTTATCTTTCAGCAGTCAATCAGTTGTCGAGCAATACAACTCAAGCCCCATAGATGTAAATTGCATAACCCCAAATTGCATTATTATATTTTGAAAAAATATAACTTTGAGTCTCTGCATTTTACTCGAATTTTGCTATAGGTCCCTAACTTTTTTTTCCAATATTATAGATCTCTACACTTTCATTTTTCGGTATTCTAGATATCTCCATAAGTAGTATTAATAGAAACCTAGAACACTGAAAAATGAAAATGTTGGAACCCATAGCAAAACTTAAACAAAGTAGAGAACCAAAGTTCTGTTTTCCCTCATATTTTCAATTAAAATGTAAGTTTCCCAGCTAAATTAAATATGACCTTACTACAAGAGTAGATTAAATTAATACATGGTTATATGGACATGTCACATAACTTTTCAATAGGTCTCCCCTCTAAGAAGCTCCCATAACTGCCTATCATTGGTTTGGCCAAATTATATCTACATGAGTACCTCAATTCTGGATACAACAAGATTAACTAACGGCCAAACATCATACTCAAGCCATCCTGACATAATCTCCCCCCTACACTTACTCTACCCTTCTCTCCCAACAATCAGGTCACACAATACTACAAATCCCAACATCTTGATAGATTTGAGAGTCATTCTTGTTTATTGTGCCTTTGCTCTCTATAACAGTCCTTTATATTCACTAGTTTACGCAAAAACTGGTGTTCCTTCCGGAATGATGAGAAGCACGTGTGGGGTTGTTTTTGTTCATCAAGGAAACTAATGACAAAGAAATCCTCCATGCAACAGTGAATTAAATATCCCCATTGTGAAATTATAACAGACCACTGATCTCCCTTACAGCAGTATAGCAGATGCTGCTCACAAAAAATGTCAGGATTTAGGGATTGCATATCAAAGGAGCACGATTTTTCACAAAACACAATGAAAATCCTTTCACTCTCATAAAGACTAAAGGGTTATCATTCACTTCAGGCACGAAAAGGTTTCTTGAAACAATGGTGTGGAGGTCACAACAACTCATTCTACCAATCCTGCAATCAAGGGCAGTAATTAAAGCACTTTCCTCCTTTTTTTTTTTTAATAAATATTTTGGCATGAAAGGGTTTGCTGAAACACTGTTGTGGAAGCCACAATAGCTCACTTTAACTATCCAGTTACCGGGGGCAGTGTTCAAATAAATTCCCTTTCCCCCCGATATACAAATGATTATCTGATTCTTTTCCCTGTGTTTAGGCTGTCTTACTGATGGAATATGGATGAGGATTGCAGGATATTGAATAATTACTTGTATTTAGAATTATTTTAATATTATTTTAATAAGGATATTGAATATCCATTAAATTATTCAGGATTCATTAGATTTAATTTAGTATCTAGGGTTTAATATTATTTGATTTAGTATCTATGATCTATTTTTATATTTAAGTATTATATTGAATAAAATAAGATATCTAGACTAGCTAGATACCTTATCGTCATGTTTTAAATTATGACTTGATTTAAATTTAGATTTATTATTATTTTTATTATTTATAGGGAATAGACATAAGGTTCCTCATTTGTAAGCAGCTTTTAAGTATTATTAAATAAGAGTTTCAAAAAATTTCAGCCTTCCCCTTCCTGCTTTCTCTTCCTCCTCTTTCTCTTCTTTATCTTCTCTCCGTTTTACATCACTAACATTTACAAAATTGAAACCCCTTGGCAACCTCAAAATACAAATCTTCAATAGCATTTTAAGAAAATTAGTCATATCCTACCATGTAATTTTAAGGAGGCATGTACTGTAAATCGAAAACAGTTCCGCAGTGTAAAGTCACAGTTACATCCTCTTCTGCATCCAATAAATACTGCCAAAAGAATAGAGAATAATCATTTATTGTCACCTGTGCTTGCATGTCCTTAGTTGACTCAGCTCCAGTTATTGCAGCTTCAGATGAGAGAACAAAAGCAGTGGAAGGCTCATCCCCAGCATTTAATCTCTGTAAAATCAAACACGAGTGTGTCATGATAAAAGTCATATCAACAAATAATATCAACCAACAAATATAGTTGACACCTCTTGAAGAACTGATGATGCCGGAATAAGGGCATCTAACAATGTTCTATAACCAGCACTGGCGCCACCATATTTACTGATAGCAGCAATGGAAGCAGCAAGTGCTTCAGCCCCTGAATCAAAAGAATCAATGAGGGATTTTACAACCCAAACAAGACAAGATGAAGAGAACAGAAAGGGTCAAAATCAAGCCTAAAAGTTCCCAGATGAAGAATCTTCTCACATTGTTTAGCCGTTATACCAGAGTGTGAGCTTGATTTCAGCTTTGTCGACGCTGCCTTGCAAAAGATGGTATATCTGTTTGTTTTTGGGGGTGGGGATTGGGTGAAGAAAAATTATAAATAAATGTGAAAAACGCCTCAAAATAAATAGATCTATAGTTTAAGAAAGATAGAGGAATGGAATAATACAGAATCCCACTTGTTCCTCCCATAACTCTTCCCATTGATGATCCAATTTCATTAACAGTTTCTGCGGCATCATTCAGGGGATAACTGCGAACAACATATGGAAACATGTCAGCCCACTAGCAATTTGCATTGACAAACATTTTGCTGCGACTAACATTGGTTCTGGAGCTATGAAGCCAACAGTATCTCTAAAACCTCAATGCTCCACTTATCCCAATATCTTGCGAAAATAACTGGTCAGTGATCACCATTGATCCAGAAAGTAACACTCCACATAATACATGGTTATTTCTAAGCTTTACAAATTAGTACCAAAACAAATGCCACAAACAAAATAATACAAACTTGAGATAATAGCTGATCACTTGAACTCAATAATCAACACCCATAACAATATGCAGTCGTATTTGAATTCACAACAAATTAGCACCACAGCAAAGATGAAAAAAGAATAAAGTGTTAAATTCCTTCATTTACCCCCCAAAAAATTCAATTCTAACACAAACTTTTACGTTAACCTCGGTTTTTTTATGCCAGAACAAAAACATTCAAAGGCTGGTCAAAAGGATCATTGATGACCTGCTTGGCCAGGCCAGTAGAGGAAGAAAAGTTGCTTATTTACCAAAAAAATTACTTAAAAAATAACCCAAAAAAAAATTTTAAAGTTGATTTTTCAAGTAAATTTTTTAAAGCTTTTAAAGAATTTTATAAGAGCCTTGAGACGAAGGAAGGAGAGCGAAATATTTATAAGATTGCCAAGAGTAGGGAAAGAAAATCAAGAGATCTAGAACCGGTAAGGTGTATTAAGGATGAAGAGGGAAGAACTTTAGTTACAGATGATGAAATTAAAAATAGATGGGAGACTTACTTTTCTAAACTTTTCAATGATGGAGAGGGTTCATCTAGTAACTTGGAGGATTTAGTAACTGGTGAAGGAGAACAAAATTTGTCATTCTATCGAATAATACGTGATAAGGAGGTAAAGGAAGCTCTCAAGAAAATGGCAAATGGTAGAGCCAACGGACCTGATTGTATATCTATCGAAGCGTGGAAATGTTTAGGTGAAGAAGGGGTGAGATGGTTAACTAAGTTATTTAATGTAATTTTATGGTCCAAGAAAATGCCTGATGAGTGGAGGAGGAGTACGTTAATTCCTATTTATAAAAATAAAGGAAATGTTCAGAATTGTACTAACTATAGAGGGATTAAGCTCATGAGACACACAATGAAATTGTGGGAGAAAGTAATTGAGCACAGGTTGAGATTGGAGACAAGTATTTCTGAGAATCAGTTTGGTTTTATGCCAGGTAGATCAACTACAGAGGCGATTTATCTACTAAGGGGATTAATGGAAAAGTATCGCTGTAAAGATAAAGATCTACACATGGTTTTTATTGATTTGAAAAAAGCTTATAACTGTATACCAAGAGAAGTGCTTTGGAAAGCGTTAGAAAAAAAGGGAGTACGGATTGCTTGTATTAAAGCCATACAAGATATGTATGAGGGGGTAAAAACTAGTATAAGAACGCCTAGTGGTCAAACAAAGTTGGAGTAGCAGAGATGAGAATGTTACGATGGATGTGCGGACATACAAGTAAAGATAAAATTCGAAACGAGCACGTACGCGAAAAAGTGAGAGTGGCACCTATTGAGGAAAAAATGGTAGAAAATCGGTTGAGATGGTTTGGGCATGTACAAAGAAGACCAAGGGAGGCACCAGTGAGAAGAGTGGAACATATAACTTTGAGTCCGATTAAAAGAGGTAGAGGAAGGCCTAAGAGAACACTCTTAAAAGTTGTTGAACGCGATCTCTTAATTAATAATATTCCTAAAAGCTTGATAAATAATAGAGCACAATGACGTCTTGCAATCCATGTAGCCGACCCTACCTAGTGGGATAAAGGCTTGTTGTTGTTGATTTTTCAAGTAACTTTTCTGCTGTAGAAAGTAGGGGTGTTCACGGGACGGGACGGGACCGGGACGCCCCCGTCCCATGTCCCGTCCCGAGAAAAAGATCGGGACTGAATTTTAGTCCTGTGTCCCGTCCCGTCCCGAAAGTCGTCCCGTCCCGTTAAGAGTCGGGACGGGACCGGGACAAGATCGGGACGTCCCGCCGTCCCGATAAATGAAATAATATTGAAAAAAGATCTGGATAATAACATTCATTAAAATTTTAAATCATATAATTTATTAAGTTTAAAATCAAAACAACACAAGTACATAAATAACAATAATTTAAAATCAATTATTGAATTATATTAATCATAACTACACATTATAATAATAAACACAAATGATCTTTACACTGTAAGATTAGTAACAACAGACAAGTCAAACATAACATCAAATCATTGTTATTCTACTTTAGTGAAGATGTACTAAGCTAATTACTCTTCTAAAAATAAGCAAAAAATACGTTGTAAATAAAAGTTATTAAATAGATATATATAAAAATAAATTATATTAATATAATTAATATATTATAAAGAAAGATATCGCCATGTTTACTCCATGCCATTAAAATTATCAATATAAAAAAACTTTAGTTTTAAATAAGAATTGTAAGTATTAAAATTATAATTGATATAATTAATATAAGTATAAATTATATTAATATAATTAATATATTTAAAATAAAAAATAATATATATAATATTCGGGACGGGACGGGACGTCCCGATGGTAATCCCGTGTCCCGTCCCGTCCCGAACCTCTTTCCTGTCCCGTCCCGTAAAGTCCCGTCCCGATTAGTTTCGGGCCGGGACAAGACCCGTCCCGATATGATCGGGACGATACCGGGCCAATCGGGACGGGTTCGGACTGAACACCCCTAGTAGAAAGGATGCAAAAAGTTAGGGGTTTGGGTTTGCTCCAGGAGGGATGGTCCTGGCCTACTTAGGAGAACTACAGTCTACAGGCCATGATCAACAAAATTTGAAGGAAGCTTGACCTGGAAGTTGGAACTTCTCCTCTAAAGCAAAAGCAAAAGAATTGATTTTTTGAAGGTAAAAGTAACTCACTCAAAATTATTGATTTTCCATAATTACTATAAATGTTTTCACCTGCCCTCTTAACTATCCATTCAAGTAATTTGGAGGTTTTTTTAAGTACGTTTGACAAGCATAGACTGCTTTTCAAAATGTTGACAAAAGTGGTGATCAACTGATTTTGTCAAAAACAACTACTCTCTAGTAATGCTTATCATGAAAGAAATTCCATTTTGTGAAAAACGATTTTAAAAATAATGAATCCGCAGCAACCCTACACAGGGTCTAAATGACCACTGCATTTATCCATTTCTTACAACGGAATCATTTCCAAGCATGTTTCTTGAAATTTCATTTGGGTGTTATTCTTTCAAATTTTACCAAAAAAAAATTCTTAATAATCTTTTAAACTTCAATGTTCACTAATGACTTTTGATCTGTATAATTCAGTATTAAATAACAATTAATTGAGCTCTTTCTCATTAATCTTTTTTCCACCATCCTTTAGTTTTATCTTGCTATAAAAACATGCATAAAAGCATGCACATTTACATCTCCAAGATCACCAATTGCCCATATGCATATGCAGTTACGCACATGCAAGTGCATACACATGCTCATACAAAATAGCCACACACATACACATATAAAGGAACACATATGCATGCTTGTATGCACACATGAACTTGTGCATAAGCATGTATACAAGCAGCCATTCGTAACTAGAGTCACAGACAAGGAATACTATAAATACTGCGGTTATCCAAACTATATATTTCAAATATCAAGAAATTGAACTGCATGTTTTCAAATTCCTAGCATTTGAAATTCCGTGGAATTTTAGATGCCACAATCCAATTGCAATCAAGATACTTTCCTGGATAGAAATTTACAAGAGTCAGAAAACCAAAGAAAAATTGCACCATGTATACCTACCAATGAACCGAGTGTTGATTGTCCAGGACCATTATACAAGTGTACAATAAAAATTAGTGAAGTAAAACAAATAGATCTGAGCAAGATAGAACATATAGAACTTACTTTTTAATGTCCTCAAGAATTGCTTTTGCACCTCTAAACATCTGCATAGGAAGATAAATCAAATACAAGTCAGGCACACAATACATCAGCAAATATAAAAGTGATAAATTCAGAAATAAGACTCACAGTTGACCCACAATCACCATCACCAACTTTGCTATCCCATTCATTTAAGCTGTCCTTAAGATTTATAATAGCATTAGCAGCAGCTTCAATGGCAGCCTCCAGAATTTGGCCTTGTTCATTCATTTGTAAAGGCCGGCTCTGTGGCTAATATAAAGCAGAAGAAACCAGATTTTACCAATTATATTAACACAAACAAAACATAACAGAATTTCAGCCAACAAAGAGAGAAGATATTTAAATCAATGTCATTAATCACTCGTAAACATTGTTAATCCTTTATTGGGTTAATAGTCCCAAATAAGCAATTTCATTGTTGGGAATTCTTAAATCTTAGTTTTCCTAAATATGGAATGAAGGCAAATACACCAACAAAAAATATGCCCACTTATCTGTTAGACATAACCATATACACAGAATAAAACTTGCCACAGAAGAAGTTAATTGAGTTTGATTCCTATCTCTAGACAATTTTGATAACATCAGATAAACCATTGCGAGTGCAATAAGTCAAACCTGTAATAAATTTCTACACAATGCTTCAAACAAAACAGAGACCTCTGCCCCCGTAAAGTTTTAACTTCAGAACAAGTGAAAGGAAGACAAGATTATAAACTGAGTGTGCCCCCTAAATATGCTTGTCCGGATAAGATTTTCAAGTTTGGAGAGAAGAAATCCTCCTAAAACATCTGTGAATAAAATACCAAAGCAAAATAACGAAATAGCTCTTTCCCATAAGTCATTTAAAGTCACCGGAGCACTATAAAATTTCTGTTGAGTTATTAAAAGAATATGCATGATTATCCACACACACATTCATGATTAAAAACCTTTTATTCTTTTCATTTATCAAAACTAAATACAAATAGATTTCTGATTAAAGGTTGTATACAGCCATAAAGTGCGATACTTTGAAAATGACCCTATGGAGACTAGATTTGGACAACTAATGTCACGTCTAGAGTCGTAGCCATCTTCACTAAAATTCCAATACATAAAGGGAAGTGTTACATAATTCTCGTGCAAATACCTCATCACTTTTTGCTGTCCGAGATGGTGGAACTGGAACAGGAATCTTAGCAGGTGGGTGATTACCTGCCAACAAAGAACTTCCAAAGTTCAATGAATGACTTGATCAAAAGAAATATCAAGGCTTCCTTTGTAAAGAGTTAACTGGTAGCGTTAATGTGCTTTCTGCGTGGGGAAAAAAAAGATTGGCCAAGAGCAATATTGGCTAAAAAGATAAGTTAAATTCTCAACATGACAAATATGATGCAAAAAATAAAATCAAATCAGCCATAGCAACAAGGTGAAAATTCCAACATATACTGACCATCAGCAGCTACAGGCCAATAAGGAGCCTTAGTTGATGCATCCAGGCGTTGAAGAATGACTGGATCAGCCTTCATGATAGAAATGGAGAAGCCTGAAAAAGATGGGAAACAAAATCAATGAATTGTAATTGTAATTGTGAATAAAGGAAAAAATGTCATTATCTGAGATGACAAACCTGCCATATCAAGAGAAGTCATGAATGATCCAGTGTACACCCGATCAACAGCCAATCCATGCTCCAGCTGCAATTTAGGAACTGCTTTTCCAGTTGCAATCATCAGTTCACTTATAGGAGTGCCACCCAACCTGCAGTGAAAAGATCCAGGAAGCAGGGAACTTAAAATCTCCTTATAGCCAACATGTTGGACCAAAGGCACAGCTAGTAGTAGCCGCGAAGACAGAAACATGTCCAATATAATATTCATGTACCTACCCATTGACCAAGAGGACCACCCTACTACCACGTGTTATTGGCACATAGTTTGTTTCCTGCAAACATTAAGGGGGAAGAAGAAGGTATGATTGAAACAGACGTAATAACAGAAGATGATTCTTCTTACAATTGCAACTTGAGCATAGACACAAGAACAGACATATTAATCCAAAACCACTCGCATCGTAGCAATCAACAGCAAAATTTTGTCACAAGTAAATATAATGTTCAAGTCAACTTACACATATTTGTCTGTCAGGAAATATTGTCAAAATATTGGCAAACTGTTATGGAAAATGTAGTGTGCCTAGGTCAACCACAGATAGAGATTTAGGCTAAAATGAAAATGAAATTGAAAGACAAATATTTAACCTTATCAAGTGTTTCTGACTAGATGGCATACTTCGATAAATTTGTGCCAGGACAAGACATGCAAGAACAGTGGATGACAGCCACTAGGTCCGTTAATGAGCTTTGAATAGAAGTTCAAAAAGAAATGAAGTTAAGCTTCATTGAACCCATTGAAGAGGCTTATCAAAGGACTCGAGGAAGAAATATTAACTAATCATCCATCTGTTTTCCTTGCTTTTATTTTTATTTACTGACTTTTCATTTATTTTCTGCTCCCAATGAAATAGATCTGTGGTAATGTAATTTGTTCAGATCATTGCAATTTGAGTTATTTGCAGTCAGGCCTTTTCTCACCCAACTTCCTCCCTGTGTTTCTCCCTCTTTATCCTTCCTCTTACCCTTGTTATCTAGCGTTCTATGTGAAAATTATTTTACAGCCAATGAGAGAAAAATACTCTTCCATAGTTCAGAGCAGCCTGGTGAAACAATGAACCAACTATTCAAACGTAAACATACAATCTTTCAACAAATTTTTCCTGCAAAGATTCTCTTGGAATAGCTTCCAAAAAATAAAAAGGCAAGAAAACTCCAACAGTAAACTCTCCAGTTTCTCTGAAAATTTGATGTAGAAACGTAATGGCCAAGAGTAAACCTACACATGCAGTACTGAAGCATACCGGGGATAATATCTGCGTAAGAACATGAGACACCACTACATCTACAGGCTGCAGATCAACTACAGCAACACCAGGCTCTCCATGCTGTAAAGAGCACCATTTGTAATCAGATACACAGGAATTAATAGAATGGAGCAGACGATAAACTTCAATCACTAGAGCTATGTCTGGATTGAAGAAAGTTGAGAGGAAATGAAGGGAAAAGAAATTTTAATTTTTCCCTTCTTATTCATTCCTCAATCCAAACATATTATAAAGGAAGAACAATGTCAGATCCAAATCTAAGAAAACAAATATCGCATGCATATTTTTTGCTCGATGTGCATTCACTCAAAACCCTAAGAGCTCAGTCTCTGTCAAAACCACTGAACCCCCATAAGTAACCATAAGCTTGAACCCGCAAATAAATTAAAAATAGTATCAAGTAGATCAAAGAATTTATTTCCAACTACTCAAAAATATAATTTATTTTAAAGACAACAAAAGCAGAGTTGGATATTTCCACCGCTACCCGCTGTTATCAGAACCATATTGAACTAGTCAACAGCCAGACAACTAATGCCTCAACTGACCCAGAACTTTAAAAATAGTCAAAAATCTCCACGGAGGATTACTGGTTCAAAATAGCATAATTTTTAAGGTACAGACCTTTTCTTCCTATATTCCAATCTTATAAAAGCAATATTACATAACTATTAATAATTACATGTTTGTATATAAATACTACGATGATAGATTATTAGTTTGCAATTTTGAGTTCATTGTGTTATTGTGGTCAAATATTAACTTGTTTAGATTTGACTATTAAGTAATAAAAAAATTTCGTAATATTTTCTTTAATTTTTATACAATATTTTAATTTATGCAAAAATTAAAGATATATTAATTTTAATACTAGTTTGATCATAGATTGACCATAAACCAGTGGTTTAACCGATTCAACGACCAGCCAAGTTTTAGAAGCTTTGCTACTACCAAGAACTATTTTGTTTCAAAGAAAAATGCCTCAATATAAGTAACTTACAATTCCAAGACCCAATTCCATCTTTCCAGGGCCCAAACGATCAGATGTAACCTGACCAGGTAGTGTGCAGACAGATAATGCAACACCCATGGTCCCCACCATTTCAGATGCACGTTTTGCCAGTGCAGCAACCTCAGCAAGAGGAAGGCCAGCAGCAGCAGCAGCACCTGCAACCTGTCTCGCATGAAAACAGTGATATGAAAAAAATGTTTAAAAAACAGCTTGGCTCGTAACAAGATGTGTGTAATCTTGATAGACATAATGCTACCTTAAACAAAATAAGATTCACTTGAATGCATAAACATATAGCATGAAAAGATGAAGCTTAAAGTTTCATCTGTATGCAGAAAAAGCAGAGAGAATGATAAGAAATAAAAGAAGAAAGAGAACCTTATTAACCAAAATAGTCCCTGCTAAACCTCTTCTTCCAGCAATCCCTCGAGGTGGAGGCAAAGCACAATCATCCCCAACAATTACAGTCTGCTTAGTGTAGAAGACTTGACATGGATTACCAGCGTCTGAAGTATTATTTAGGCTAAAGATAAAAACCCAAGGCATGTTAACATACCTCCACTTTATAACCTTCAGACTTTGCTTGTTCAGCAGCCACACCAAAGTTCAAACGATCACCAGTATAGTTCTATCAACACCCAAATTCGACACTATGAATCCAGAAACAGAAGAAGCAGATCCTAATGACTACACATTATTTTAGCATACTTGTTCAAAAACCGCAGTTCACAGAAAACATTCATAGAGCCAAGCTAATTTTGCAGGTATCCAATCAGTGTCAAATAAAAATAAAATAAATACCTTTTCTTTTCAACTTTTATTAAGTCAACAACAATAAATGTCAATTTACTGGAATTTGAAAGAAAAAATAAGCACCAATGATGAGCCAAAAAAACATAAATACTGATAAGATGACTGGTGACTCTTACTCAACAAGGCAATATGCAAACATATTGTGGAGGGAAGACAATACCGTGACAATGAGCAGACATCCCTTAGGACCAGTTACAGCTCGAATGCCCTAAATTTAAAGGAACATACATGTATCAGATTATAATTAAATAAAATACCAAATGTGTGCAACTGAAACTTTAATGTCTGCGCACACGCGCCACTTCCAATTATGCGAACAAAGCATACAGCTAGAATTGAATCAACTGGTGGAGAGGCAAAAATGTCCCCACAGATGGCTGCTGTCAGCATCCCTTCTCCAACAAATCCAGCATGAGCAGGCTCATGTCCACTTCCTCCTCCTGCATCATGAAATAAAACGTTAAGTGACAACTATACTAAAGACAACAAATCACCCAAAAATATTCCAGTTTAGAATGCTAAGGAGAAAGAATGAGAGAACAAAGAAATGAAAGGATCAAACCAACAGATTAGATCAATATTAACACAATTGTCTTTTTCACTTACTGAACAAATCAAAATGCATTTTCATGCAGGTTTGGCATAATCAATATCATCACTGATAACAATATAAAACAATCCCCTTGGTGCAAGTGTCTCTCTAAAGGCTGCTAGGTTGGGGATAAATGGGGAAGAAAAGTTAAACTTCCCAAAAGTAAGGCTTAAGCTTTAGCTTGATTCACTAAAAGCCTTAACTTCCTAGGAAATTAAGATTCACACTTCCATTACAACCAGGGAAGTAACTTACTGAGTAAGTTAAGCTCTACTTCCTTAACACTTTGTATTACCTTTCCATATATACCCTTATTAGTTAATCAAATGTATTTAATAAGGTATTTTGTCTTTTACATTAAAAAAATAATATATTTACTTTAAAAATAATTGTAATTCACAGGAAAATACAAAGTCAACCAAGCAAACTATATATTAACTTCCTCAAGGGTTAAATTCCAAGGAAATATACTTCCTAATGGCTCATTTGGTATAATAGAATTGATTTTGGCGAAAATAAAAATGGAAATAGATATAGAGATGGATATGGAATTGGAGATGGATGAGATTTAAAAACATGTTTGGTATGTTCATAGAATTGAGAGATTATTTTTATTCAATATTAATGTTTAAAACATAAAAAGACTAAAAATGCTCTCATCCCAAAAAAATACCAACATACCCAACAACAACAAAAAATACGCAAACCCAAAACATCCACCCTCTTCATCGAAACCACCATCATCCATTGGCAGAAATCACCACCAACAATCTTCTATTTTCCCCCTTATATCTTGCATTGTTCCTTTTTCTGGATTGATTTAAAATATGGATTAGTGGTTTGATTCAAATATAAATCATTAAGAAGTTTATAACAGGAGGCGAAATTTCTGCAATTTGCTTCTACTTTTGTTGGCAGTTTTTGGGTTGCCTTTACAAGAGGATGGCTACTTGCTTTGGTTTTGCTTTCATGTGTTCCATAACAACAGTAAGGCAAAAAGGAAAAAAAAACAACTCAGATTTGAGATGTTTGAAATTGTTGGTGCTTGACTAGTTTGTGATTGAAATATGTTATGCTCGCTGTCATAGTTGCAAGAGGTCACCAGAGGAGGAATATGATTATCATTGTGATTGATGGAAGGGTTGGTTGTTTAAGAAAGTAGCAGATTGAAGTCACCATTGCTGTTGCTGAAGAGACATCACCGTTGCTGTCATTCAACTAGTTATCAAAGAAGAGAAGGGTGAAGAAGGTAATGAGAAGGGGAGTGGCCAAAAATAAACCCAGAAGGGAATTGTGCTTCGGGTTTCAAAATATGAGGGACAAAATAGTCTCAAACTATTGTTAATGGGGGCATACTAGTCATCCAGATTTAAATTCCATAAAAATATGACAATTCCATGCTCCCCCTCATGGAAGCCAAATCCATCAATTTTGATGGAATTGATTTCCACGTGGAAGTCTGATAGAGCTGACAAGTTTATTAAGACCTATACGAGGAAATCAAGGGAGACTAAGAGGGCAGAAAAAGAATTCACCACTGGTTCAAATGTTTATCCCATGGATCCTGATGACAAGGAAAAGTAATGCTAGGTCACGTATGGTCTTGGGGCTTCCTAGAGGTATAGCCAATGTTGGGGGATGTGTAAGTCACTTTTTGGAGTCCTTAATGTCTTCCGACTGAGAGGAGACATTCTATGGATTATTTGGTATTTTAAGTGTAGAAGGAGAGTCTGGCCTCTCGAACGCCAGTGGCTGTGTTGTTGTTCTTGTGATTTATGTACTGTGGCTTTGTAGATTTTTAGTTGCCATTGTAACAGGGGAATAGGGTTTCAATAGAATCAACGGACTCTTGTAACACTGATTCTATTTTCCAAGACATTTAAATAGTAGAAACCTTAGTATTTTCCCTCATTACTTCCATTGTTGTCTTTTTCTAGCGTTATTTTCTGCTATTTCAGTAGGGTTCTATCATTTTGGTATCAAAGCAATACAAATCTGAAGGTAACTGTCGAAAGGAGTAATGGCAGAGGAAGTGTGCTATGCCGATGAGGAAGTACAAGAGTTAAGAGAGACGGTTGTAGGGTTAACCAAGAGCGTTAATGCTCTGACGGAGATGGTTGAGACGATACAAGAAACCTTAGGATAGTTAATGAAGCAAAAGAATATTGTTCAGTCTCACGACAAAGAACACGTGGGACTTCACAATGAAGAAGCATCAGGAAGTAACACAAACTCGGAGAAAGAGATGAACAAGTTTAGGAAGTTGGAATTACCTGTATTCACTGGAGAAGATCCTCTCGGATGGTTCTTCAAGATGGAGGTATTTTCGCATCAACTCAACAACTGAAGCTGAGAAGTTGGAGACAGTAATGGCATGTTTAGAAGGCAAGGTTTTGAACTGTTACCAATAGATCAAAGCAAGAGCATCCATACGAAACTGGCAGGAGTTTAAGCCTGAACTCTTTCGACAGTTTCATCCATCACAACTGGGGCATGATTACGAGATGCTGTATACAGCCAAACAGAAGCATTTTGTACTCAATTTGTTGAGGAGTTTGAGCGCTTACCTACCCCTTTGAAGGAGCGCCTAAAGAAAGCCTTATTAGGGCTTTTAGGATTGCATTGAAGTCAAAAATTCAAGCAAAATTAAGGCTCACAAGTGCTAGCACCCTTCGTGAGATCATGGAGATGGCTCTTCATGTGGAAGAAAGGAACGCAGTGGTGGATAGAGTCACAAAGAACTGGGTCACCCATTTCCAACGACACCCTATTGGGCCTAAACTGAATCCAACCCAAACTTATTTTACCCGAGTCAGTCGCACGCCAGAAACGCAACGCACAACGTCGTTCTCTTCTACGAACTCAGATGCTGCAAAGAAACCCGACACGAAGAACATAAACGCGAAAGTGGGGAGTCGCGCTTCTGGGTCTTCGTCAATGAAGAAGGGTGGGTCCACGAGAAGGTGATCTGATGCTGAATTTGCTCGCAGAAGGGAATTGAGACTCTATTTTAAGTGTGTAAAGAAGTTCGGTCCTAATCACATTTGCAAGAATATAAACTTACAGGTGATGCTTTTGGAATTAGAACCTGAAATGAATGATGAAGAAATGGCACCATTTTTTTAAGGTACAGATGATGGTAGTAAGCCTAGAGAGGAAGGCACGAGGATGGAGTTATCTCTGAACTCCATTGCCAGGTTTGGGAGTAATCACACTATGAAGGTAAGAGGTCAACTCACAGACAAAGCTATTGTAGTTCTCATTAATAGCAGAGCCACTCACAATTTCATATCGGAAGAATTAGTAAGCAAGGCAAAGATTCTAGTGAATGAAATCGCTGAATATACCATCACAATTGGAGATGGATACACACTCAAACAGAAACAACAATGCAAAGGTGTGAGGCTGAATGTGCAAGGGCTTGCAGTAAATCAAACATTCTACCCATTCCCTTTGAGTGGTGTGGATGCTGTCCTGGGAGTTGAGTAGTTGAAATCATTAGGAGAAGTGAAGATGAATTGGAGTCGATTAACAATGAAGATTGGCGAAGGGAGAGACAAGGTTTGTTTGCAGGGTGATCCTACCTTATCCAAGAATCAAACAACTCTCTAAGTCTGTCATAAGGTCAATGAAGAAAAAAAGGGAAGGGTATCTAATTGAATATAATGGCCTAGTCAGTGAAGAAGGGAGTAAGAAGAGTCTAACTCCGAAAGTTCAAGCATTGTTGAAAGAATTTCTAGAAGTTTGCCGAACCCTTTAGGATTGCCTCCACCGCAATCTAAGGACCATGCAATTGAAATCAAGCCAGAGGAGCAACCACCAAACATTCAACCGGTACCCTCACTTACAGAAAAATGAAAAAGAAAATATGATCAAAGAGATCCTAAATGTTGGGATTAGGCAACCCAGCAACAGCCCCTACTCAAGCCCTGTCCTCTTGGTTAAAAAGAAGGATGGGAGTTGGCGATTTTGTGTCGATTACCGGGCGCTGAACAAAATTACAGTCTTAGGCAAATTTCCTATCTCCGCCATTGATGAATTGCTAGATGAGCTGAAGGGAGCAACCATTTTTTCAAAGCTGGACCTCAAATCCGGATACCATCAGATTCGGATTAAAGTAGGAGATGAACACAAGACTACTCTTAGGACACACAAGGGTCATTATGAATTCAAGGTGATGCGCTTCGGGTTAACCAATGCCCCCTCTACCTTCCAATCATTAATGAATGAAGTGTTCAAGGAGCAATTGCGTTTGTGTTGGTATTCTTTGATAATATTCTCATATACAGCACTGGATTATCATCACATTTGAAACATTTAGAAGTTGTACTAACTTGCCTGAAGGAAAGCCAGCTAGTGGTAAATTTAAAGAGATACAGTTTTGCTCAACCGAAAATTGAGTATCTCAGTCACATCATTTCAAAGGAATGGATCCAAACTGATCCTACAAAGGTGGAGAGCATGCTGAAATGGCCTATGCCCAAGAATGTGAAGTCCTTAAGGGGATTCCTAAGGCTGACTAGGTACTACCAACGATTCGTCAAAAATTAGGAAAAATAGCAAGTCCTCTTACTGACTTGCTTAAGAAAGATGCCTTCAAGTGGACAACCGAAGCTAGTGTTGCTTTTGAACAACTCAAAACAGCGATGACTACGCTACCGGTGTTATCAATGCTGGACTTTTCCATCCCATTTTAACCAGAGACAGATGCATTCAGGGCTGGTGTTGGTGCAATGTTAATGCAAGGTGGCCGACCTATTGCCTATTATAGTCAAAAACTCTAACAGGGCACAACAATGTCTTGTTTATGAGCAAGAACTTATGGCTACTGTAATGGTTGTTAAAAAGTGGAGGCACTACTTGTGGGGACAAAAATTTTCCATACAAACGGATCAAAAGGCTCTCAAATACTTGCTGGAACAACGAGTTCTAGAGGAGAATCAGCAAAAATAGGTTTCAAAATTAATGGGATTTAAGTTTGACATATCTTACAAGCCTGGTAAGGAGAATAGAGCAGCGGATGCTCTTTCTAGACAAGCAGAATCACTAGAAATGATGGGGTTCTCACTGTGGTAGCACCATGAAATGGAAGAATGGGAGACAGAAGTGCAGAATGACCTTAAATTGAGCAAGATCTTACAGCAGCTCATCACCAATCAAGAAGAAATCAAAGGGTACAGCTTGGTTAGAGGATGTTTGCATTACAAAGGACGGCTGGTGCTTCCAAAGAACTTTGCACGCATTCCTCTATTATTAAAAGAATATCATGCTTCCCCTATGGGTGGGCATTCAGGGTATTTGTGCACAAACAGGAGGTTGGGCAATGTAATGTATTAGGAGGGCATGAAGAGAGATACCCAGCATTATATGGGTAGGTGTGATGTATGTCCAAAAAATAAATACGAAGCCTTGTCTCCTGCTGGACTTTCATAGCCCTTACCTATTCCTCAACAGGTATGGGAGGATATTAGCATAGATTTCATTACCGGGCTACCTAAATCTAAGAGGTATGATACTATTCTGGTGGTGGTAGATAGACTAACTAAATATGCCCATTTTTTGCCAATATCACACCCTTTCACAGCCAAAGATATTGCTGAAAAATTTGTGCTTAACATTGTGAAGTTGCATGGTTTTCCAAAGACCATAGTATCTAATAGAGACAAGGTGTTTGTGAGTCAGTTTTGGCAGGAATTGTTTAAGCAAGCTGGTACACAACTTTGCCTTAGCTCTGCCTACCACCCTGAATCTGATGGGCAAACTGAAGTACTAAATAGGGCACTAGAAACTTATTTGTGTTGCTTTGCAAATGAGAAGCCAAACCAATGGGCTCAATGGTTACTGTGGGCTAAATATTGTTATAACACTTCCTATCACAGCACCGCTGGAATGACACCATTCAAGGCTGTGTATGGGAGAGATCCCCCCTCCTTTTTGAAGTTGAATGAAGAGTCATCTGCCATAGAAGAAGTGAACGATCAGATTCACATTAGGAATCAAATCATTGCAATTCTAAGGGAGAATTTGACTGTTGCACAGAGCAAGATGAAGCAGCAAGCTGACAAGCATCGCAGGGATGTACAATAAGAAGTTGGGGATTTGGTTTATATAAAACTCAGGCCCTATCGCTTGAAAACTATAGCTAAGCAGGTGAATGAGAAACTCAGCCCACGCTTTTATGGCCCTTTTAAGATCATTGAAGGGGTTGGCCCAATAGCATACAAACTGGATCTTCCCCCCACAGCCCGCATGCACTCGGTGTTTCACATTTCTCAACTAAAAAAATCAGTGCCAACGACCATAGTGAATTCCACAATACCCTCAGCACTTTCTGGTGAGCTTAAACTTTAGGTTTAGCCTGAAGATATTCGAAAATTCAGACAGCTTGTGAATGGCCAACATGAGGTACTAGTGAAATGGTGTGACTTACCTGAGTTTGAGAATTCATGGAAGAAAGATGACATTATCTCTACACAATTTCCAAATTTTCCCCTTGAGGACAAGGTGAAGCTTTTAAGGGAGGGTAATGACGGAGCTGACAAGTTTATTAAGACCTATACGAGGAAATCAAGGAAAACTAAGAGGGCAGAAAAAGAATTCACCACTGGTTCAAATGTTTATCCCATGGATCCTGATGACAAGGAAAAGTAATGCTAGGTCACGTATGGTCTTGGGGCTTCCTAGAGGTATAGCCAATGTTGGGGGATGTGTAAGTCACTTTTTGGAGTCCTTAATGTCTTCCGACTGAGAGGAGACATTCTATGGATTATTTGGTATTTTAAGTGTAGAAGGAGAGTCTGGCCTCTCGAACGCCAGTGGCTGTGTGTCGTTCTTGTGATTTATGTACTGTGGCTTTGTAGATTTTTAGTTGCCATTGTAACAGGGGAATAGGGTTTCAATAGAATCAACGGACTCTTATAACACTGATTCTATTTTCCAAGACATTTAAATAGTAGAAACCTCAGTATTTTCCCTCATTACTTCCATCTGTTGTCTTTTTCTGGTGTTATTTTCTGTTATTTCAGCAGGGTTCAATCAAAGTCTAATTCAACCACACCAAACATGCAAAAACAAGGATTTTAATTCCATTTCCTTCTCCACCGTCAAAATTCCAGCATACTAAATGAGGCATAAGAAGTTAACTACCCAAGAAGCGAGGCCTAAGGTTGTAAATCAATTAAAAACCAGTAGCATTGATCTGCTCTAAGGTCTTAGTATCTTCTGGAGAATGTTGAATCTGGTGTTTGCCAAAACTAGAAAGAATATTAATAAAAAAACATTGAGATACTAACAATTTGTTATGTTATTTCAGTCAACAAATGAGCCTCTCCACTGAGAAACCCCAATCCCAAATGCCAAAGTAACTAGGAAGCTTATAAAATACAAATTCAATTCAAGAGAACATCCCAGACCTGATATGATTGCAACTTTGTCATATGTTGTCTGTGAAACATCAGCACGTAATACTACCTTCACCTGCATTCCAGTAGAGAGTTGAAGCATCAGCACTACACCAAGAAAAAAGGTTTTCGTAAGGATAGATGAGGCTGGTCATGTAGATTCACCAGTGGAAAGCCATCTAAATATTGTAACCCAGGATACGTCTCCACAAGACCTTCTATGAATTCAGTGACGACATCTGCAAACAAACAACAAAGAGAAGGAACATATTTAACTTGCACAACTCCGTATTCCGTAAAGAGAACCTGAAGATGAGATGAGGGAAGTACAAGAAAGTACAAAAGCAAAAGAAAAGAGATCCTCCCCAAACAAAGAAAAAACCAAGACTCTCACTCAAAAGAGTTCAAATCGTTTTGATGATCGCAAGGGATACCCTCCAAGAAAACATTGTTGAAACCCACAGAGAAGCCATAAAAATAAACCTCTCATGATAATTGTAGTGGAAGAAACTTCTCATTAAACAATTGTGCATTTTGTTCTCACCGAAGACACCAAAAGCTAACAAAAGCTACACATTGACAAATTTCTTTGCTAGAGACCCCTAAACTAGACAGCTTAAAGAGTTAATAGATCAACTGGACAAAAGCAACTCTTATTAAAGAAATCAAGCAGCTGATTCAAAATAAGCCATGCCACTTCACAATGGATGGAAAAGTGATTATTTGTACCAGAAGTTCTAAAACACGAACAAACATAAGATGATAAAGCCTCACTACACCTTGGACTTTGAACCAGATCATACAAAAGTTGATAATCTAGAAAGGGCGTTGACATTCCTTAAAAATTATGACAGGAAAAAGGCCAAGTGTCTTTGGGCTTTGAATCAAAAAACCAGTGAAAGAAACACAAGTATAAGAACCCAAAGAATCCTAACTCCAAACATTTCCATCAGGCACAAAGAAGAATGAAACAGAATAAGGATATTCAACAACATAGCAAGGTTTGTTACTTTTGTTTCTTTCACTGGATTTTTTATTCTAGCATTAAGATTTCTGGAAGAGTGAATAACTGAATATTATACCAAAGTTTGTTACTTTGACTGATTTGATATCAGAGATAGGACCATTAGGCACGGTGAATTCTCTTTTTGTTCATTACACTCAGACCTATACCATTCCTCACATATAGGGATTGGCGGAAAATAAATCTTGTCTTCTGTCCTTTAAATTTTGGGACAAATATTTGAAAAGACCAACATAAATCTTCCTTTGTCTGTCATTATTGGAAATTAAAGTTTTTAATTATCTTTAGTTGTTTATCCATTTACCATTAGGTTAAGTCCCACTACGCAAGATAAGGCTTGTTGTTGTTGTTGTTTTACCATTATGTCAAGTGTTTTGCATTAATTAGAAAACAGTTATCCTAGTTGATTAGAATAAGATTATTTTAAATATTTTGACAGGCTCTATGTTAAGATTATTATTTTCAATGATTCTTTAAGGTAGGAGTATTAGATAATAGGAATTGTCAAATATCTCATATATTATAGTTGGACTAAATCCTTCTCATTATCTTTGTTGAGATTTGATTGTCAAAGTTTTGCAGTCTCCCTTCCTATATCTGATCCACTATTTTCATTCAGTAGAATCGAGTTCAGAGGATTTTCAGTCAGACTGCTACTTTTTAAACATTCAATCACACGGTTAAACCATCTTTCACTCACTGAAAAGTTATAATATGTTTATCACATACGCAAGATAATAATATTTTTTAATTTAAACTGCTGTACGGTTCAAACTCAAGAACTGAACTCCCCTAACCCACAGAAATCTCTACCGCGCCACCCATTGCGAGAGAGACAAAAAAGTTGACAAAACAGAGTGCACCCACTACTTAAAAAGAAAATCGGCAGCCAACTGAAGCATTATAAGCAGGGAAATTACTGAGGCAACAAAGGTCAGATAGCAGACAAGAAAAGCAAAGAATGGTTAGCTACCCAAGACAAAGGGGCCTTACCCCGCTGCTAAAATTGAGCCATATTGATTGATTTATCATATTTAAATTGAAAAAGTTAATATAACAGACAAAGTCACCCATATTGATACTATGATATATCCTCCACAACTCAATCGAGGACAAGCACCGAGAAATTCATTATGGGCTCAGTAATATTCAGTCAACGGCCAATGCTAAAAATATTACAGGGACCAACCATGGGATAAAAAGTCAAAACTAAGGAACCAAAAAGTTCCCAACGCAAAGAAGACAACCGAGAGAGAGAATAACAAGACAAAACTTTTACCCGCTCTATCATCAAGTAAGCTGAACATTTTAATCTATCCAATTTTCAGAGTTCAAGTTATGTCCAAAGGAAATTTCTCCAAAAAAAAAAATGCAGATGAATTTTGTTAAGACGCCAAGAACAATGAGCATTCGCGGGGCAAACAGCAACGACCGGAAAAGGAAAAATCCCCAAGACATCGCAAGAGCCAAGAAGGAAATGCAAACCATTGGGATCGTTAATGAGCTTCTTCCCAGGAAAAGCCATGTGGATGAGTCTCTCAGAGCAGCACTGATCGAATTAAGGAGCGAACAACGAAAACCCTAATAATGCTGTGCATGAAACAGTAAAAACCACAGGAGCGAGAGAGAGAGAGAGAGAGAGAGAGAGAGAGTGAGGAAGAGGAAGGGAGAGTTGTTGGCTCGGTGGTGTGACCCTTTATATACGAAAGAAAGCGAGGGAGTTGATAATTTGGCTTTCCTTGTCCGAGGCTCTAAAGCAAGAAAAACGCTATCCTTTTCTCCAAAATGTCCTTACTTTTATCTTTATTTTCTCCCCTGCCACTAACTCAAGATAAAATCATTAAATCATTTAGGTGGCAATTAATAGAAACTAACTGTGTAAAAAAATTTACAAATTTATATTATGAAGATCACCAGATTCGAAGAAAGCCATGTTAGGTCCCAGCTCATTTGGATAAGAACATATTAAATTGTACGTCAATGAAATTCCACCAGCACAACTAAAAACATACTCCCTCCATTTTTTATATATAAAATATCTTTAATTAAATTATGTAAATCAATAAAAATTAATTAATTAAAAACATAAAAAAATTTCAATTTTATTTTTAATTATTGTAAATAAAAAATAAATTTTTTAAAGTAAATCAATAAAAGTACTTATATTTTTTTAAATTTAATAAGAGTATAATAATTCATTCATTAAAAAAAATACCAACAACCTCTTATGTTTGGGAATGAAAAAAATTATAAAAGACTTCTTATATATAGAGATGGAAAGAATAACTCTATACACTATACAGCAATTTTATTCATTGGCAAAACTCATAAAATTTTAAATATTAAAAATGATAATATGTTTAGATAATTTGTTTTTAGTTAATTAAATGATAAAAATTCAAATATATCATTTTAAATATTAAAAATGTTCACCTTAATAACACTAAGCGGCAACTTTTTTGAGCATTCAAATTCAATAGAAAAACGAACCAAACTAATCATTGATGGTTAATATTGCAGTTTATTAAATTGTTTATATTTTATATTAAATATTGATATATATCTTAGCAAGGTGGGAAAATGATCATGCATTCAAATCATAAGGTGATGGTCCAGTGGTGAAAGGCAAGGATGATAATAACATATGGTACTCACTTTAAAGATTTCAAATAGATTTTAGAATTACTAAATTCTATCTATACACGTCATAACTTACTCACTACGACATATAATAAGCAAAATAACTTACTAATTATAATATAAAATTTTCATGTAGGTCCAGTCTTGTAAAAAAGGTTAATTAAATATATTAATTCAGCTTGAAGGAGCAAGCTGTAAGCCATTTATTAATAAGGGAGAGAAGATAAGGAATTTATACCGTTGTTATAATGAAAACTAATATTGAAATAATCATTACTAATAAAACCATATTGTTAAGGTCTTATATTCTGCGACTCTATATCACTCCCAAAAATATCATTGATAGATTAGTTTAACTGCGTTCCTATCCAAGCAAATCAAACATTTCTTATGACTCAATCCAAATATTTCTAACTTCATTAGAAAATCCCAGATCTCATCCCTCGTGTATCAGGCAAGTCAACTGAATAAACAAGCACATTATCTCAATGCAAGAAGGAAATCAGCATTCACATTTATATTTGTACTTGGTTGGATGAGTTAACAACAAGAAGGCTCTCACGTGGTTACATTGAAATGGTTGGGGCATTGGCTCTTTTGGCCCCGTAGCTTGTGATATGGATGTAAGAATATTAAAACATCTGATTATGCCAATGACATTTCTTGATTTGTTGACGATGTACTAGGGCAGGAACCATGCTAATTTTCTTTTTTTCTTTTTAATGAAAAAACTACTTTTTAACTAATCTTGCCAATAACGAATAATAATGCATAGATGTAACGAAAGAGAAATCACCAGGTGCTTAAATCAATTGACTAAAAAGATTATCTAAGTTAAAAGTTTCAAATTTGAAAACCTATTTGGATAAACTATATTTGGCATCTAGAAAGTATATACTAGCATTTGAGAGTTGAAAATTGTTTGGATATTGCATGGGGAGAAATTGTGTTTTTTGAAAGTGTTTTTTAAGATGGTTTGGATGTAAATTTAGCAAAACAACTTGACAAAGATTTAAAAAGTAATATATTATTTGATCATATTATCCCTTTAATCTATTATTTTTTATTTAAAAAATATTATTAATTTATTAAAAATATAATCAGGTTTGAGAGTACGTCTAGTTGGTCAAACTTTTTTTATAAAAAATTCTCATATATATTTTTGAATTATGTTAATTTTTCATTATTAATGTATGTTAAATTATTTATTATATAATTTTTTCAATATATCAAACTTTATATTTTTTTTTTTTATTATTTAAAATATCAAATTTTATATTATTTAAAATTTGATCACATTTTTTAAGCATTTTAAATATATTATATTTATATAATAAAATTATAAATTATTATAAATTAATATTCTATTCAATAATTATATATTCATATCCAAAAACACATTTTATATTATAATTTAAGTAACTTTTAATTTATTAAATTAACTTTTAAAAAATATATTTAAATATAAATTTTATCATAACAACTTACAAACATGTACTAAAATATAGTATATAGTAGCAATTAAAATTCTTAATGAGAAGGATGTCCTAAGAAAACTGCCTGCAAAGTGCAAACTGTCCACCATATTACGCCTTGAAGCTCCTTCTCTCAACCTTACGAAATTTAACTTTATCACAATCAGGTTGCTTTGGAAATATTGCAGCCAAATCAAAATCAAGAGATAGAGGGGGCAATGTGTTGTCAAAAATACTGTTCTTTGAAGGGATCCCAAACTGATATCTGAACGTTCTCAGTATTTATTGCTAGTAAACAAAACTTACATGTGGGCCTTCTTCTTTTGTTTAGGCTAACTGGAAGTCTGTCCCTAGCCAAAACTAGGTTATCCTGTTCTGACATGCCACACTGTGGTGTAAGAGTTCAAAATCTTGATCTTCGTCCCTGATAAAATGAATTTTCCACATCCTGAATATCTCACCATATTCTGATTAACCGTTTTCACGGACCTGAGATCTCGAATTCTAGATTGTTTGATGCTAATAAAGAAATATGTCATAATCCACAAACCAGTGTGAAATTTCAACGAACCCAATTTCCATTAATCACATGTAGTTTCCGTTGTCAAAAGGATGCAGAAACAGAAACCTCCCTACAAAATATTTTCATTCCCAGGCTCCGGAAATTGAGCCTACTTTTGTTTTTGGATTCTATGCCATCTAATCAACGGGGGAAAAAGTTTATTCTGATTCGACAGCTAATCACATCTCGCAGAGAATTGAGTGATCACTTGAATGCCCTTCTAGAACCTAAAGACATCAATTGATAAAGGCACAATGGAAAGAAACTCAAATCTCTTGGACGAATTGCCTTTGAAAAGTCGTTGAATCACCTACTGGTTCCTACGATCCTAATGTCCGCTGTGAACATGGCTCGCACAGGCCTATGATCGGAAAGTCTTGACTCGCTTCTGTCGTACTTGGTTTGCTTCATTCCATGTCCAAACCATATAATTCGATCACACCTGTATTATACACTTCTCGTAGTTAGCCTACCACCTGTTTGCTTTATTGCTTCATTCACATATGAAAGCGTTTAGGTTTATGTTATTACTTACCACGCCGGGGCACGTCTCTTTTCGCGAGTACGGGAATGATCAAACGCAATATAATCTTCTGAATTTGGATAGTATTTGTACGTGGGTGGAAATTCTATGGCTCCTTCTTGCCAACCTTTGAATACATTGCCCTCCGTGAGCTCCATCTTGAGCTATATTTTTTCATTTTTTCAAGGGTTTTTAAATTTTTGAACAACAGTACTACGATAACTGACAATACTAGAGGAAGTAGTAAGATAATATGCTTCACCTGGTCATTTTTCAACAAGGCGTTCCAGTCTCTTCTCTTGACCAATGATAGTGTTGCAGAGTCTGGCAGGTAGATCCTGTAATTCAAGTCACCGAGCCAGATCACTCGGCTGCAAAGAAACAGGTAAAAATTTCAGTGAGGCCTTCAAATATGTACAACTTTATGATACTTGAAGTGAATATTAAAACTCCCTCAGACAGAGACTGATAAAGGTTTAGCGTTACATGAACACTTGTTACAAAAGATATTATTCTGAAATCATTATCTTAAACCATCAAACAGAAGGTTTTTAGTTGGTTTCCGATATTTTTGTCTTGGAATTTTTCTGGTGAAGTGTCTAGCAATTTGATGTTGATGCTATGGAAATGGGTTACAACCCACAATTAAGTGGTCTTCACCTTATGCTTTGGAAAATAACATTCATTAATATAAAACTGTACGAGAGGTAAGTCACAACGGAAAAGAAAACAAGGGAACCCGTGGACACAAGTGCCACCAGGTTACGTTACAGAATTTCTATTCTTAATAGTATATTTCAGTTGCTGTCAACCAACGTTCCTAATAGTTAGGTGCCTTCTCTTTTCCTTTTCACAGTTTTACCTTTCCTCTATCTAAATCTTATCATGTGAGGATGAGATTTGGTAATGTCGAGAAAATGACAGTTTCCTACTATACTTATCCTACGTATACTTACTCGTGATCGAGAATTTTTTGGGGCAAATTTTGCTGAAGACCAGCAGGGAAGCTTGTCTGGGACATAATATCAGTTGCATTGGCGTTTCTTTGTCTTCGGTCTACTTCTGTCCCTCCAGAAGCTAGATGACTACACACAAAGCAGAAGCTTGTTTCATGCAAGCAAAATCTAATTGATATTGAGCCCTGTGTTCCAAGATGAAGAAAGTATCTAAGAGATCATTCTAGGTTTCAAAAAATTCTATCTGAAGGGTTATCTATATCTAATTATCTATATTGTATACAACTTAAAGAAAACCAAACTTCATAGCTTCCTCTCTACGTGTAAGAACACACCTTGTTTCCCAAAGAGCCCATGATTCCGCAGCCAACTGAAGAGACGCTCAGGTGACTGATATGTTGATAGAGGTCACTTCGAATCCACACAGTCATGAACATTCCCACCAGTTGTCCGCTTGCGATGCACCGAAAATCTTCTCCATGTTCATCTTCAGCACAAACAGGTTCCTTCATAGGATATATTTTTTGGGGTTCTGTTGTTTTGTTGTCTTGAACCAGCTTTCTTGGCCTTCTATTGTTAAGGGCTGCTGCAATGAGAGAATTCCATTTCTTGCCAGCTTTTCTGTCTTGAGGACCTAGTACATTTGCTGCATTAAGAGGCACAATTTCTTGGAACCTGAAACAAAGCAGATGTTATTCGAGTTAGATTATTCTCAAATGCAAATTAAGGCGGCGTAGAAGAAGGTCAGTAACAGAAGAAAAGTACCCCAGGACATATATATCTGCAGAACTATTTTGCATGTCAAGCCAATCTTCCATGTCCAAATTCTCGGGTGGTGCAATACCTCCGACATTCCATGAACCGACAAAGATTCTTGAGAGAAATAATATCCAAATCAGAGTCGTTTCATAGTTAAACATACATGTTACATGTTAGAGAAAATCATTACAAGATTAATGTGGTGCAGAAGCAAGTGAAAGAGAATGTTAACTGAGCTGTTTTCATACTTCTTTGTGTCATGGTGGTGACTGAAGCTTCTATTTGACTCTGTAGATGCTTGATTCAATCTTGAAGATTCTAGCTTCGCCTCTGATGAGTGCGGGTGCTGATCTTCTCCACCGAAGTTATCACTGCTCAATATCTTTCTCAGAATCTTGCTCTCCTTCAACTTGAAGCCCTTCATGATCTTTTTGGATGCAATATATACTCATCAATCATATAAAAAAGAATCACAAGAGAGTGGGAAGATACAGGTCGGCAGATACAAAAAGACACTTAATTCTTGCTCTCTTTTCTTGCTCGCCAATGGTTTTCTGCAACAAATCTACCAAAGAACGGAAGTGACATGCCAGACTAGGAAAAGAAGGCAAGAAAAGGGACTTTTGCATCAGATATCAAGAGAAAGGGGCAAAGGAGGTAGAGAACTTATAGGCATGCAACTTAGTACCGTCCTAAGTAGAATTGATTTACAATTGGTTAAGGGAAAGACGTGGGACAGGACAACTGAGAGGACCCCCCCCCCCAAAAAAGTCTTGATATTTAATTTCAAATTTTTGATCCAATCTAATTCTTTTTCCTTATTTGAAAATATTATCACTAAAGGATCCACATGAAAAATAATTTCTTTTTAAATTTATGTCATTTTCAGGTTACCTCATTCTACCTTAAAGCTCCGGGAAGGTCCCTTGAAATTGCAATCAAGCACAGAAGGCGATAACCTTTTCAAGGAGCCAAACCAATGAAATTACTCTGTTGCTATGTCCCGCTAAACCCAATTCCTAAGCAAATTCATAGTCCATTCGTCTTGTTTGCGGATAAAAGTTTACCTAATAAGGCCCTCAAGCAACATGCGGAAAAATGAGTTTCATTCCTTCCGATGAAGTGAAGCCATTTTAGATTTTTTAACTACTAGCCTGACCAAGTTGTTGAAGAAAGTAGGTTCATACAGACCACTTGGTTGCCATAATTATTAGCCCAACACGAAGAGCTTGGAGGAGTTTTTGATGAGATGTTGCCTGTTGCTTGCTCAGAGATTAACCCAAAATTTGATTTGATTTTGGGTTTATATTAACTTAATGGTCATTTTCAGGGCACTTATTTCGACCCTGCGCCATGTGCAAGCATGAGCACCCCATCACAGCTTGAAGAGTTTATTTTAAGAGAGCAGCAATCTAAGTTGGAATTGCAGTCGGCATCGCCTAAAAGGCTAGCCGAAAGCTATGATTGCGCTGGAAATGATCACAGCTTGAATGAATGAAACCTACAACTACAATCACAAATTGATTATTTACATTTTAAGTCGGCTGGGTTTATATCTCCCATGCTTAATATTCCTCGTTTCGAAATATCTGTGATATTATGCACATAGAGTAAGAAAATTGATAAATAAATTGTAGTAGAAGTAGTATAAAACATAGATCTGCTAGAAAAATTTTAAAATAAACAAGTTTTAAAATCTCATGCACAGAAAGTCTTTCTACCAATAAAAGCCGAGTTTAGTTGAGAAATTGATTTTTCACAACATTAAAAAATTAAGGGTTAAATCTTTATTTAAAGAAGTGCTTGCATTTAGTATTTGATTGTGTCTTGAGCACTTAATAATAAAAACTGCAACCTTATTTTTTTTTTTTAATGTATATGGCAATGAACACTTAAGAGAGGTGCTTAATGCCATTGACGCCATTCATAAAGAATCCTTTATGCTAAGTTAAATTGAAGAATAAAATAGGTTCAACTATTGATACACTTCAAAGTTACTAATATACATATTTTATAATGAAGAAAACTTATATATTTAATTTTATATATTTAATATACATGTTTTCAATTAAAGCAAGATATGAAATTTTTTTATAAATTATTTATTTTATAATAAATTTTTGTTATTAATGTTATTAACTTATTAAGATTCATTTATCATAATTTGATTGGATATAAATATATTAGGTAAAAAATGCTAAATACATAAATCTTATCCTTTTATAACATATATAGGCATATAATGTGTTTGAAAGAGAGTGAGGATAATGCATCTTACTCGAATCCGATGCCTTCAAACACATCTGACATGAATTCTAAATTGAAATGCTAATCACTATGTTAATATATTCAATAAAATCCATAGTAAATCATATTCTTCATAAATACCATAATATTTTATTTGATATAAAATTTGTGATAAGAAACCCCATGAAAAAGCTTTTCTATTTTGATATAAAATTTGAGATGATATCAGATGCAATGCAAGTTACCAAAAATAAGTTGATTGAGATTTAAAAAAAAAACGCAACGTTTATTTGCATTGAAGAATGTTTAACATTCACATTATTGTTTATGAAGTGGAAAGTGGGTGATCACATTACGTGGTAGGGTGAATTATTGAGGAAATTGAAAATTGCTTCGCCTAAGTCCAATATAAAATGCTTGAACTAACAAGTGTCAAAATACGAACCATGTATAACATATTTATATTAATAAATCCATGCCAGAATTGAACTATGAACGGACCATGTTCTTCTACAGGCAAAGACAAAAGGATCAAGTCTTGGCGTTTTCTATGATAGCATACAAGAAATTTAAGCATTTAAACTAAATCTATTCATATTGTCAACATTAAGTGTGAGTATTTCTCTAAACAAAAATTTAAATATTAATTTATCATATTATAAGGGATTAATTTTTGTTGATTTTTGAAATAAATTTTTAACAATTATAAACTTTCTAAATTATCAAATATATATGAATAATTAGAAGTGTTTAACTTGTACCTGTCTCAATTGACTCGATATCATCCTGATCATATCGAGATGGGTCTCATCCCATTCCGAAGACAATCGAGGCAGGACTTTGTAGAACGGGATAGAAAACAGGTTCGGGACATGACAGGATATGGAATTATTATCAGGACGTCCCGTCCCGTTTCAAATATTATATATATTATTTTTATTTTAAAAATATACATTAAATATATTAATTATATTAATATACTTTATACTTATATTAATTATATCAATTATAATTTTAATACTTACAATTCTTATGTAAAACTAAAGTTTTTTATATTGATAATTTTAATGACATAGAGTAAATATGGTGATATTTTTCTTGATAATATATTAATTATATTAATATAATTTATTCTTATATCTATCTATTTAATAACTTTTATTTATATCATATTTCTTGTTTTATTTTCAAAAGAGTAATTAGCTTAGCACATCCCAATTAAAGTAGAAGGACAATGATTTGATGTTGTACTTGGCTTGCATGTTATTGCTGCTCTTATAACCTAGAGATCACTTGTAATTGCTATTATATATGTGTAGTGTGATTAATATAATTTAATAATCAATTTTAAATTGTTATTATTTACTTTTATTGTTTTGATTTTAAATTTAATAAATTATTTGATTTAAAATTTTAATGAATGTTAGTCTTCAGATCTTTTTCGACAATGTTTGATTTAACGAGATAATGAGATGTCCTAATCTCATCTTGATTCCGTCTCGATTCCTAACATGATGGGACAACTTTCAAGACATAACGGGATAAGGGACAAAATTTAATTTTGATCTTTTTTTTGGTATGAGATCAAGACACCCTTATCCTGTAACCCGTCTCATCCCGTGAATACTCCTATGAATAACTCTCTGTTAACTAACTTCTAATTTCTTTGGCCAAACAAAAACCAACTTCATAATTGAGTAGCTCAGCGTAATATGTCAATTGACCTGATCTTTATATTTTTAGAATTATTCCGAAATTTAAAATCATTAAATGTAAATAGTTTTCAATGTTCCATTAATTCAAAAAAAAAAAAAGGTGAAAGTCCTGAGTAACATCAAGGCTTACAATGTTGGAAAGCATCCCGTACGACTCGTACATTCTTCTTTTATTTTTTCATATTACAGAATATTAGTACATACAAATATAATAGATAAACTTGTACAAAAAATATAATACGTAAGCTATAACGTATAAAATTTAAAGTACATTTCTTTAAAGGATAACTAAAAATAAAAAATTTACACGAATGTCCTAAAATTTGATTTTGACATTTGATAATTTAAATTTTAGCCATCATATAAAAAATTAATGAAGCATCAATTATATAAATTAAAAGAAAGTATAATTATAAAAAATAAATAAAAGAGATGAAGAAATTAGTCTTTCAATTTTTCTTCAATATATTGACTTGGTTCTTGAAATTTAATCATTATTAATCAAGTCTTTAAACATTCATAACTATATATAATTATATCTCTTATAATGTTTGTTTACACCCAAATTGTGAATTTGAAAGCCCAAGCTCAATTCAACTCAATTGACTTTAAAATAATTAAAAAATTATTTATGAAGCCTTAGCCACTAAGTCAAGACTATCCACACTCCAACCATGATGAGTAACCACGATGGAGGAAGTGGTTCTTAAATTCAAGAAAATTAATGATCATGGGGCTTAGTTATTAAGTCAGAATCATCTATAAATATAGGAGCCCTATCTTAACAAGAATCATTATCTTCATTAACAAACTACCAATCTCAGATTCCGCATCTGCTACTTTATTTATTTTTCCTTTTATCATATAATTTTGGTCTTTATTTTTCTGTTGTACAACCGGCATAGCCCGCCATTTTTTTCTTTAATTAATATATCTGTTTCATTGTATCTACATTAATTTTTTTATTTCCCATTCTTATTCAAGTGAACTATGGTAAGGGAATTCAAGTCCTCCGCTTTTGATTAAAATTTAAGTTCTTTCATCTTGTTGAGACCCCATATCTTTGACACGTCTCGAGACACCCCCTTCTATTTTTGCCAAATAATGTTATTTCTCTTTCAAATTATAATATTAATTACGTATGATAATGAAACTTTAAGAATTTAATTGATAAAGATTAAATTTTAAGGATCAAAATCCAGTTAAACTTTGATGGATCAATATTTTAAATATAATTTAATTCTAAAAAAAATTAAACTTACCGCACCATAATGATTGACGAACTTTCATAATTGGCATTTGACCTAAAAACTTTAATAATTCATCTAATTTAATATTAAGGAAGAGCGCCCCTAAGAGCTCTCAAGTTTATACGCCATATTTTTCATTGTAGTCATGGGATATTGGTTTGGTAATCGTAATGTGATGTGATGGGACACCGAAAGCTTCTATGCACGAAATTTAAGGAACGTAGTCATGCACTGCACTATTAATGATTTTAGGGAAAGAAATAAGTACTCATATATTTATGTATCTATTTGAACTGTTGATCTTCGTTCATATGCTACCTCATAGCTACTCTCATGTGGTGTGATCATGATTAGTAATTAAAAAAATATAATGATAATCCGTGAACTGGAAACACAACTAATAATGATGCTAAATTGCAATCAAGCAATCAACCTGCACT